GGCGCTTAATCAGGAGTTCTCCAAGCCAAAAGGGGGAGAAAAGGCATTCCAGGCCTAGGGAACAGCATGCACAGAGACCTGAGACATGGTGTCTTCAGAAAATTGCTGATAGTCTGAGTGTTCCTGGAGGTGAGAGGCAAGAGAGGTCAGAAGGGATAAGATCATGAAAGATCTTGTGAGCCAAGAGATGGAGAAGCCGCTGGGAATGGTGAGACTGAATTGGCAGACTCAGAACGTTGGGAGTGGGAGGTACTGGGAGGTGAGGAAGAGAGGCCAGACCAGAGAGGGTACTATGGGAACTTGGGGGCTGATCAGATGAGGAACATGAAAAGAGCAATCAAAATGATGCTCAGGCTGGTACTTAGGATGACCTGGTAGATGGAGGTGCCTTTCACAGAGATAGGGAAGCTCCTGGGGGGACCAGATTAAGTGGGGACAGGGACATGGAGACAAGTTTAGTCTTATTTGGTTGAGTTTGAGATCCTTGTAAACCATCAAAGTGGAGATGCTTTAGGAGCAACTGTATGTAGAAAACTGGAGCTAATTCTAAGTCATAAATATTGGTATACTGGTCCTCAGCATATAGAAGGCTATAGACACATAGAGTGAAGGAGATTGGTTTAAAAAAAGAAGAGAGCCCTAGCTGGTATGGCTCAATTGGTTGGAGCATCATCCATGCATCAGAAAATCTCTGGTTCAATTCCCAGTCAGGACACATACCGAGGTTGCAGGTTTGCCTTGGTTTGGCACATATGGGAGGCAACCGATCAATAGTGTGTCTCTCTCATTTTAATGTTTCTCTCCCCTCCCCCCCATATTTAAAAAAAAATTAAAAAAAGAAAGAAGAAGAGAGTCTGGGTGTAAGCTTGAAAGACACCAACTTTTAAAGGGTGGATAGGAAAAGAGGGGCCCAAGAACAAGTGGCCAGAGACATAGGATGAAATTTAGGAAGAGATTTGAATCAGATCCAAAGGAAAAAGGGAGACTTTTTAAAAGTTGAATTGTTTCCAGACACCTGAGGGGCTGGCTATCCCAGAAAAAGAGTGAACAACTGAGGCATCAGTGGGGAGGACTAGGCTCAAAGGGTAGAAATTCCAGGGAAACAAATTCTGGGTCAATATAAGGAAGTCTTTTCTAGCAGGCTTTGGGAATTAGGCATTCCCAAAGTTAAGCAGGGAACTCCCTGTCACTGGAAGTATACAGAGGCAAAGTATGCCAGGGGATTATAGAAAGAGTTTCTTGCCCAGCCAGTGTGGCTAAGAAGTTGAGCATAAACCTATGAACTAGGTCATGGTTCGATTCCCGGTCAGGGCACCTGCCTGGGTTGTGGGCCACACCCCCTACTGGGGATGTTCCTGCAACCAAGGTATGTGCCCTTGACCGGAATCGAACCTGGGACCCTTCAGTTTGCAGGCCGACGCTCTATCCACTGAGCCAAACCGGTCAGGGCAATAAAAATATTATTTTTAAGAAAAAAGAGTTCCCTGACTTGGGTAGAAAATGGGACTGATTAGCCTCTGAGAACTTTCCTCCTCAGTCTTTTGGGAACATTTTCACAGTGTCTACATACAACTACATAGTGACCTATCTCTCTATAATAAAAGCGTAATATGCTAATTAGACTGTATGTCCTTCCGGACAACCTTCCAGATGAAGCCAGAGCTGCAAGGGAAGCCCGGGACCCAGGTGCCTGCCGGCAGCTGGAGGAAAGCCTGTGCCGGCAGCCAGGGGAAGGAAGGCCTACTCTTGCATGACTTTCATGCATCAGGCCTCTAGTATATATATAAAAGACTAAGTGACCATTATGACCGATTGACCCAAACAACTGTTCGACCAGTCGATATGATGCACACTGACCACCAGGGGGCAGACGCTCAACACAGGAGGTGCCCCCTGGTAGTCAGTGCACTCCCACAGCCAACCTCCCACAGCCCCTTCCTTCCTGCCCCACCTCCCCCTCACTGGTCAACCTCCCGCGGCCCTCCCCCTGCTGGCCAGCGCCCCCATAGCCCTGATTGGGAGGCTGGCCAACTTCCTGCAGTCCCTAACCCTGCTGGCCAACCCCCCCCATAGGCCCTGATATGAGGGCCAGCCAACCTCCCAGGGTCCCTCCTGCGGGCAGCCGGCCCCCCAATAGGCCTTGATCACCGGCCAGGCTGAGGGACCTCACCCATGCATGAATTCTTGCACTGGGCCTCTAGTTTTATTATAAGAGCCCTCCTCACTTTCTTACCAATGGACAGAGGACCTCAAAGATCACTAGAATGTAAGCTCTATGGTGTGGTAAGAGGGTGGTAGGAGTAACTTTGGGTGGGGATGACTTGGGCTGAGAACTATATGCTGAGAAGGACTCATCCCTGTGGGAAACTTAGGGAATTCTATGCTCTTCAGAAGGCACAGCAAATGCCAAAACTAAGAACAAAGACAGAGCTAGGAAAATTGAACAAATACGAAGAAGGCCAGTATAGCTGGACCAAGTAATCAAGGGAGAAGGGAGTGGGAGGAGACGAGGAAGGAGAGGGGAGCAGGACCAGCAAGGCCAGTTTTATGGGACATTGTTAGAAGGGAGGTGTTTATTCTAAGAGGGCTGAAAAGCTGTTACTAAAGCCACTGGAGGGTTTCAGATGGGGGAGTAACTCTTCTGTTGTAGACCATAGATTTGGGGGTCTAGGAAGGGCACAAGTGGAAGTAGCGAGAGCAGTGAGGAGCATATTTTAAATGTGTCCCCATGGTCTGTAAGCTAAAGTTTAAACCCTTTTGCCTGGCATTAGAGATGACTCCAACTTTATTCTCATTAACCTCCTCCTTCACACACAATGTGCTTCCAACTTGTGAAAATGTTGAATAATCCTGAAATCCCCAAATCCCACCCCACCCCCTGCAATGTTGCCCACATCTGTCCCTCCACCCCTTAAAACCAGACTCATTCTCGAAGGTGCATGTCTGTCCCCCCTCCATGATGGGTCTCTCCCTCTGTGCTTCTCCCCTGGCTTGAGAGTATCTCATTATCCCTCTGGCTACCCTACCTTGTTCTGTGCCAGTGTACTGTAGTTGGGCACCCAGCCTTGTTTGGATCTGCACCAGGCCAGTGCCATGCTGTGGGTGATTCTCAGTAAAAGCTGCTTTAATGAATGACTAAATTCTCAGTAGTACTCAGCATCTTGTCCTCAAATAAATGATAAGTGGGTTGTTGAGAAGCACTCATTTATGTCCACATTGATGTGCACTCATTGTTTTCTGACTACAAAAGGAACACATGGGCATGTAAAGAGACTTTAACAAATGTGTTGCATGTTCATTTTGTGTCAGACTGGACACTGGGAACACATGGGAACTAAGACACAGTCACTGAGAAACTCACAGGCTGTTGGGAAGGAAAAACTCAGAACGCATCTTTATCCAGAAAAAAAATGGTCAGTGCAATGATGGGGCTAAGCACGGGGCTGTGGCAAACTAGAGGGGACACGAGGAAGGGATTGGAAAGGCTTCAGGGGATGACGATGCCTTAGCTGACTCTGGAAGGATCAGTACAAAACAATCAAGTGAAACAGGGACAGGAGAATAGCATTCCAGAGGGAGGAAACAGCATGGTTTTGGGGGGAGTAGGAAAGGGTACCTGAAGAACCACAGTCAGATACAGTTTGAATATAAATACATGGTGAGGCAGAAGGAACAAGTGAAGGAGAAATTAGGCTGGTAGGGCTGGGTTGGGCTGGGTTGAACAGGTGGGGTCAGGTTTAAAAGATTGAACGTTATTCTGGAAGCTAGTTGGCAGTAATGGAAGGGCTGTAAGCAGAAGAGTTTTGGTTTTAGAAGAAAAATTATAGTGACAATGTTTTTAATAATGCTATATCTTTTCTGAATTTAAGAACACTCCCATATGCATTTGGTCTTCAAAACAGCTTTGTGAGGTACCTAGAGCAGAGTTTATATCATTTTAGGCATAAAAAAAAATGGAAACTTGGCAGAAATCAGTGACCGCCTTGGGATAATGGCTACGAGCACAGCTCTGGGGCCAGGCAAACCAGAGTTCATGTCCTAGCTCTGCTACTTATCATCTGTGTGACCTTGGGCCTCTCTGGGCCTTAGTGTCCTTATCTGTAAAATGAGTATAGAACCAACCTGTTAGTCTGTCCATTTGTCATTCACTCATTCACCAAATACTTACTGAGCTCCCACTTGGCCCTGTGGAGGTGCTGGGGCTTGAGAGGTGAGGGAGCAAGAAAGATGAGGTCCTGGTTCACAATCTATTAAAACAACAACGACATCAACCAGTTGGACCAGGAGTTTCAAACACAAAGGTCTGCCTGAACAAGACACATGAAAAAGAATTGATCTGCGTGTGAGACAACAGGGAATGGTGGAGACCATGGCAAGCTGGAGAGGGCATGCCCCGGCCTAAAGTAACTCAAATCGGAAAATGTTAAAGAATGCCAAATAAAAGAAGGCCCCAAGTTCATTAAGCATGAGGGCTGCCAGTGCAACCCTTCATTTACATACTTGTGATAAGTGGTCAAGTATGGGTTGTGTTATGCAGAGATAACATGAGGATATACGAGAGCCTGGGAGCCCGAGAGGTAACATTTGGTCTGAGATCTGGAGGATGGAGGAGGAGTGAAGAGGGGATGGATGGGGGAAGGAGAATTCCTGCCCGAGGGAACAGCATGTGCAAAACCCTTGGGCACAAAGAGGCTTAGATCATTCAGGGATCATTCATAGGAGCCAAGGTTTCTGGGACATAGTAAGGAAAGCTGAGCAAGTAATGAGTCAGGAAAGGCTGGCAGAGAAGGGTCATGGGACCTTACTTTGGAAAGTCGTGGAAAGGTATCAAAATGGCCGAAGGGTGAGTACATAAAAAAATAACAGCACGCTACTTTGAACAAAGCAACTCCAAAATGGACTGATTCCAAACATCTCCACCACTCAGTAAGTAGGTATCATCCCCAGTTTACACACGAAGAAATTGAGACACAGAGAAGCTAAGGAACTTGCCCAAGATCATGCTGTCAGAAGTGGCAGGGCCAGGGCCCAGACCAGAGCATTCTGGCTTCAAGGCCGCTGCTCTTAACAGCACTATGCGGCTTTGGATGACCAGAGCAGGTAAGAATGGCATTTGAAAAAGATCATTCTGATTGCCCATTAGGAGTACTGGGTAGGGGAGTAAGAGTAGAATCTGAGCCCTAGCCGGTTTGGTTCAATGGATAGAACATCGGCCTGTGGACCAAAGGGTCCCAGGTTTGATTCCAGTCAAGGGCACTTACCTTGGTTGCAGGCCCCCCGCGCCATCCCTCTCCCCGCCCGGGGTCTGGTTGGGGATCCTGCAGGAAGCAGCCAATCAATGTGTTTCTCTCATATCGATGTTTCTCTCTGTCTTTCCCTCTCTCTTCCACTCGCCCTAAAAATAAAAGGAAAATATCCTTGGGTGAGGATCAACAACAACAACAAAAAAAGAGTAGAATCTGATGAGACAAATAAGAGAAAGCTCACAAAGCCCTTAGCATAGTGCCTGCGTTGGGAGTCACAGGTAATTGTCTTCATCATCATAGGAAGATGATGATAAAGCTGGGCATGGAAACCAGGTGCCCCGGGGCCCAGCCTGGTGCTAAAGAGTTTTCCCTTCCTGACTCCTTTAGTCCTCTTCCCGAAAGAAACTCATGTTTTCACGATCTTCCCCCAAGGATTCTGCCAGTCTCAGACCTCGGCTAGTGATGAAGATGCCAGCAGGGGTCCCGTCTTCAACCCTGAACTGGTCATTGCCCACTGCTTCAAGCAGTTCAAGCAGAAGGACTTCCACCTGCCTCGAAGCCGCCGGCGGATCATCATCTTGCCTCGAAAGGAAGATGCAACCTCCGTCGTTGTCGTCAATCCAACACCACAGCCCCAGGCTCCCTCACAAATCATCCCCAGCTTCAAAGCCCTGGAAGCCAGGGACGTCCAAGAGCCCCAGGAGGATGTGAGAACCTGGATGAGCCAGAGGTTGAAATTTCGGCAGGAACTAGAGTCATGTGTCAACATAGACAAGTGGCTGCAGAACAAGTCCAGCCTCACGCCTTCAGAGGCCAAGATCTTACGCATGACCCACAAGGAGCATCCTGTGGCCCCGCTGATGACCCACTTGATCCCTCCCAGCCCCACCAAGGTGAGCAGCCCCATTTGCCAGATGAGGGGATGAGGGGCAGGATGGGGATCATTCACCCCGTTTCACAGAGCAGCAAACAGAAGTCCTTAAACAGAGGTGCATTAGTTATCTATTGCTGGGTAGTAAATACCCCAACATGACTTAAAGCAGGAAGGGCTTTATTTTCTCACTCTTTCTGCAAGTCAGGAATCTGGGAGGAGCTTAGCTTGGTGGCTCTCCCTCAGAGTCTTTTCATCTCAAGATGCTGGTGGGGGCCACAAACGTCTGAAGCTTGACTAGGGTGGGAGGATTCGCATCGAAGCAGTTTGCTCACATGGCTGTTGGCAGGACACCTCATTTCCTAGCCGCATGGACCTCTCCATAGGGCTGCCTGAGTGTCCTCACCACATGGCAGCGGTGAATGGTCCAAGAGAAAACGAGGAGGAGGGCGCAGTGCCTTCTAGAACCTGTCTCAAGAGGTCTCAGTTTCAGCAGCTTCGCACTGTTACCTCTCTGTTTGTCAGAAGCAAGTCACTAAGTATTGCCTCCACTGAGGGGAGGGGAATTAGTCTCCATCTCGAGGGGAGGAGAGTTGAAGGATTTGGGGCTATATTTAAAAACCACCCCAGGAGAGAGAATGACTTTACAGTTTGCTACAGGCCATGAATAGATGTGGGTCCCACCCCTCCTGGAGCACAGAGGAGCTGTAAGCTAGGGAACAGGGTGGCCCTTTGTAAACTGTCGGGTGCTGCAGCAAGGTAAGGCAGTGTAATTTCTAAATGTTCCCATACACCTGGAATTGGAGGAGGAGGAGGAGGAGGAGGATTTGGACAGGTAGAGAAAGAAGGAAAGGCATTGACTTAGGCAGAAGGCCCAGCTGGAGCAAAGGCCGGAGGTGGGAGATCTAGCTCCAAGCAGAAGCCCGTATTTTGGTGCACTGAGAGCCCGGTGGGATTGTAATACTGACAGGTCTGACCAGAGAGATGCGGATAAGAATAAAATCCTAGCTCTCATATTGTTCAAGCCTCTTGTTTCTGATGGGAAATTGAGGCCCAGCAAAGTAAAGTCTCCCAGGAGTTCTGTGGCAGAATGCAGTTGTCCTGCGGTTGCCTGAATTCAGTGATCTATGCACTTCATCTTGCTGTCTGTTCAGAGCTGCTCAGCCTCTCCCTCTCCCGCTTCTCCCTAACTCCGGGGATCATGTTTCATTGGCCTGTTTCCCCTGAACTCTCCCTTCTGTTCCACTCACTTTCCTCCTGCAGAAGAAAATCCTCCGACCATTCCACCAACCGATACCCCAGCTCCGACTGCCCAAGCCCTCTGCCCTGTTTGTCTTGTACTCCTACCTGCGCAGCCACAATATGAAGATCCTGGATATATTTGCCAGGGTGGAACAGAGCAATAATCAGGCGATCTCCAGGGAGCTGTTCATTATGGCTCTGAAGGTGGTGAGTACCTCCCGTGCTCCCTCTAGGCTGGCCTAAGTGGGGAGGGTGTCCATGCTGCCACCCCCGACCCTGGACCAAGTGAAAAGGAAACTCGGGGAACTCAAACTATCAGCCTTCTCACTTGTAAAGCCAAATGGGAAAATGCAGTTTAACCTGCAGCCACATCAAACCCCTAAAACCACCCCTGCACTGGTCTGACCTTGAAAGTTTGAGTGGAAAGTCTGCAGAACTGGCCCCATAATCAGCCAGCTGCCCATCCTTGCCCTGAATTGAGCACTGAGATTGCTGGGCCTTCAGTCCTGCCTCTAGAACCTTCTAGAGCTTTTCCAACTGTCACTGGCATATGAATCACATAGAATCACATAGTCTTATAAAAAAATGCAGCTTCTACTTGACCCAGTGATCCCACTTCTAGGACTATATCCCAAGAAACCGGAAACACTAATCAGAAAGGATATATGCACCCCTATGTTCATAGGAGGGGTTAGAGAGCAACCAAAGGACTTGTATGCATGTATATTAACATAACTAATGGACACAGACACTGGGGCGGTGGGGGCTTGCCTGGGGTGGGAATGGCTGGGGGGAGAGGGGTCAATTGTGGAAAAAGAAGACATATGTAAAACTTTAGACAATAAAAAAAAATTACTAAAAGAAAAAAAAAAGCAGCTTCTGACTCAGTATCTCTGTGCAGTTCCCAGTGATACCCTTGGTACTGGACCACAATTTCACTGGCTATTCCAAATGTAAATTAATTATTAATAAAATGAAAAGTCCAGTTCCTCAGTCACACCAGCTACATTTTGAGTTCTCAATAGTCGCATGTGGTAAGCAGTTCCTCTACTGCAACACACAGATTGAGATCATTTCCATCCTTATAGAAGGTTCTGTTGGGTGTGCAGGGGCCTGCTGACTATGGCCCTGGAGTCAAATCCAGCCTGCTCCCTTTGTAAATAAGTGCTACTGGAACACAGCCACTCTCGGTCATCTATGGATTGTCAAGGCTGCTCTCATGCTATGACGGCAGAGTTGAGTGCTTATGACAGAGACCATATGGCTCATGGAGCCTAAATATTTACTATCTGGCACTCTACAGAAAAAGTTTGCTGAATTAAGTTTTTATATACTTCAAATACAAGGTTCCTTATAAAATAATTCTAGAAAGCTGATGCCACACCTTTTATGATTTTAAATCATCCCAGTTTTCACATCATCATTTTATGACATGTACTTATCTGAACATTTCAAAGCATTGAAAACAACAAAAAGATAAATTGTTTTTCATCATAACCAAGATGACAAAACATTAAATCTTTTCATACTTGGAGAGTTCTGATCTGCTTTATAAAAAGCTCAGTAACAATGACTGCTATCTAAAGAAGCTGAAGAACACAATTATATTCCTTTTAAAATGTTTCTTCTTGAATATTTGTTAGGCTGGCAAGCACTGTGCTCCTGCAAAGTTGCTCATTCCTTAAAAGAGTGATATGTATCGTATTTTTGATCCTATTTACCCTCAGTGAAGGGAGGCTTATGTGTCCCTCATGGGCAAGAATGATAGACATGTGAAATCCTCCTTCAAATCTATCATAGGAAAGCTGGCATTGGGATTGGTAAGAAGTCATCTGGGAGCCCAGAGTAAGATGTAACAGATTCTGCAAAGATGATGGTGTATCTGGACTGGGTTTTGAAGAAGGGAAAGAAGTTTTTCAGGCTTTGAAAGGGAGGCATTTGAGTAATGGGAAGGGTGAGAAATTGAGGGGTGTGTTTGCAGCCAGGAAAGGGCTCTGAGCTCTTGGCAGGGACCTTGGAGCTGGGAATGGCTGTAGATAAAACCAGACTAAAAGGTGGGGCCAGGCTGACAAGGCCTTGGCCATTCTGATAGGATATTTGGATCGGAGCCTGTCCATTTTGGGGCTTCTCTTCTCTCTTCAGCTTGAAGTCCCTCTGGGAAACCAGGAGATAGAGGATATTGTGATCTATCTCAGCTCTCTGGGGAAGCACAACAACATCACCATGGATAGCCTGAGCAACACCTACAAGCAGTGGTCCTTGGCTCAGCAGAAAAGCATGCTGAGAACTACAAAGGATTGTAGGTATCCACCCCCACCCCCGTGACTTCACTTCCCCAATCTTGGAGCAAGCATGGTAGAGGCAGCCTTGGCTCACTTCCCGAGTGTGTTCTCCAACTTTGGCTTACTGTAGGTAGGCCAAGCCTCTGGCATGTCCAGGCCCAGAGGTCAAACAAGTAGATATTTTCTGGAGTACCAAGCTACCTTGTCCATTAAAAGCTGGATGAGGCCCAGTCCTTATCCTTAAGGGATGGTTCTCAAAGGGTGGTTTCAGCCCACCAAAGCCCATTTGATAGGCTGAGAACCCAATGCCAAGCCTTTCTGTTTGTATGTGGGTCCAAGGCCTTCTTACTACTATTCCCCACCTTATTGATAAAAAACTAACTAAATTCAGAAACCAGAATTAGCACATGTTCAGAGTCTACTTTGGTATTCTACTATCTGGACTGGGTTTTGAAGGAGGGATACGAGTTTTGCGCAGATTGTGCACAGCTCTGGTTCCATTTGCCAAGCCATGTGCTTCTAGAGCCACATCTGTGTAGACGCACAGAGGCAAGTTAGAAATGTACTTGCCATAGCTATGGATATGAATTTACAACACAAGGGTGCATCATGCTTCTTTATAGGTTAGTTATTATATAAAAATTTTTTTTGAACAGCTATAGATAATATTAAAGCCCTCCTTTAACAACCACCCACCATTCCAGAGCCCTCCCCAAATATAACCACATCTTTCTTTTTCTAAATGATTCAAATCTTGCTTTGCCCCCACCTTCCAGGTTGTCAGGAACTTAATTTCAGACATAGTTGAAGAGGAGAAGCTCCTCATCCTCCCCAAGGTCATGTAAGAACCCTAGTGGGGTAGTGGAAGGAGTTCCTTGCACAGGTGAAGATTTAGGCAGTGCCTCTGGAGTCCCCAGTCACACTGAGCTGGGTGTTCAGTGTCCTCGCTGGCTGGTTCTTTTGAGGACAGCAGGCAGCTCCTTAGAGCATCCATTCCTCTGTCCCCTGGAGTGTCACAGCACAGCATGCAGACTTCTGACCTCTAGTCTCAACAAGCTACTGGGAAGAGGCATCCTCACTGCCACCAACCTGAGTTCTCCCATAGTTGCCTCCTGGGTCTCACCACCCCACAGCAGTAATCTCTCACACCTTTCATGTCCAGCACACCATCAGGGTTGCCTTGAGTTGGGAGTGCTTTCCAACCCGTGCTCTCTTAGCCTTTTCAGTATAAATCACCAAAGCTAATTGTTTTCCATGTAGTTGGCTGCAAGTCATTGAGTGAATGACCCCAGTGTGCCATGATACATATTTGCAGCAAAGGTATTTGGGGCCTATTATTTACCAACTAGAAGCCCAGTGCATGAAATTCATGCACGTGGGGGGGGGGGCTCCCTCAGCCAGATCTGCACCCTCTTGCAGTCCCAGAGCCCTCGGGGGATGTCCGACTGATGGCTTAGGCCCAATCCGTCAGTTGGATATTCTTAGCGCTGCCGTGGAGGCGGGGGAGGCTCCCCCCATCGCCGCTGTGCTCGCCAGCCGTGAGCCTGGCTTCTGGCTGAGCGATGCTCCCCATGGGAGCGCACTGACCACCAGGGGACGGTTTCTGTGTTAAGCAGCTCCCCGTGGGAGCGCACTGACCACCAGGGGGCGGTTTCTGTGTTAAGCAGGATCCGGCCAAAACCAGTTCTCCAACATCCCCCAAGGGGTCCCAGACTGCAAGAGGGTGCAGGCTAGGCTGAGGGACCCCCACAGGTGCACGATCAGGGCCGGGGAGTGATGTGGGAGGTTGGTCAGCCAGGGAGGGACTGCAGGAGGGCTCCAGGGCATGTCCAGCCTATTTCGCTCAGTCCCAATTGGCTAGACCCCAGCAGCAAGCTAGCCTACTAGTTGGAATGTTTGCCCCCTGGTGGTCAGTGCACATCATAGCGACTGGTCAACTGCCCCCGGTGGTCAGTGCAAGTGGTTGAGCAGCCTTAGGATATCATTAGCATATTATGCTTTGATCGGTTGGACAGATGATCGGATGAGCAGACACTTAGCATATTAGACTTTTATTATATAGCATAAGTAGATGAAGCCAAGCAACAGATATTTGCTTAAATGGTGCTATCACAGTTGTCATAGCTGAGTTCTTTTTCTCTGGAGAGCTGCAGTAAGTAGGGTGAGCAGACTTGGGAGTCTCTTGCTTTGCCTAAAGGGGCAGCAGGGGCAAGAGTCTGGGTCCTTGGCTCACAAGAGAGAAGGTGATAGCATTTGGGGGCACCCTCTGTAAGCTGGGTAGCTTTACCTACAGCATTAGCTCAATTTATCTTTTAAGTCTCTGGACGACAGGGCTACTATTCATGCTTTTCAAGGAAGAAGCTAAAGCTCAGAGAGGTTGACCACGTGTCCACATTTTTCAAATCAGAAGGTGGTAGGGCCTGGATTTCAGCCAGGGACGATGCAGGCCTGAACCAGGGCAGGGGCAATAGTATGTTCTCATTCATTTAGATCTTCGTTGAACACCTACTATGTGCTAGAGCTAGACTCTTCTAGGAACTAGGGAGATAGCAGTGAAAAAGCCAATGCCCCTGCTTTCAATGAGTTTCCATGTAAAGGTTAACCAAGATGACGTTCAGTAGTGATTAATGCTTTGAAGACAATAGGATAGTGTGTGTGTGTGTGTGTGTGTGTGTGTGTGTATGGGGGGGTCAGGGAGGGCCTTTCTGAAAAGCTGACACTTGAGTGACTGACTGACGAGGAGCCAGCCTGGGGAAGGGCATCCTGAACAGATGCAACTGCAAAGGCAAAGCCCTGAGACAGGAAAATCTTCAGGGGACAGAGAGAAATGGGGGGGGGGGGGGGGGGGGGGGGAGGGGGGGGGGAGATGGGTGGAGTGAGTGAGGAGTGGACAGTAGGAGATGGGCCAAGTGGACGAGGTAGATGGTTGGCTGAGGCCAAATCCTGCAAGGCCTTGCCGACCAAGGAGAGGATTCTGGGTTTTAGTGTAAGTGCTGTGTAAAGACAGGAGCGAGTTCTAAGCAGGGGAATGAAGGGATGTGATTTATATCTTTTAAAGGTCCTATTTGCTGTTTGGTGAAAACAGGATGCTAGAGAATAAGAACCGAAACAGGAAGGCTGAGGCCGTGGTACAGGTGAGGGAGGCGGCCATAGTGGAGATGGAGAGAAGGGGCTCCTTCAAGGTGTATCTCAGATGGCACTGACTGGACACATGGAGTATGAGCAGAGGGATGTCCTGGTGCTTGCGTGGTGACACTGGTTAACTGCTTGATGGATTCCATGGCTGGGCACCCTCTCAGTCCCCCCTTCATCTCTTCTCTCCAGCCTATTTTAGGTCTTCCAAGCACAAAGCTTTGTCTCGGCAGCTGTCCAAGAAGCAGGTGAATTTAGCTCCAAAGGCTCCCAAGATGGACCAGCTGGCTGTGCCTGTGGTTGACACTCAGATGGAGGCAAGGCCCTTGAGCCTGGAGGAGATGGAAGACATCGGCAAGCGGTACCGGCAGAGGAAGCGGCAGACCAAGGTACCCCAGCCAAAGTGGGAGGACGCGGGGCAAATCCCCTGCACCTGCACCCCCTTCTAGCTGCTGGGACTTGGGAGCAGATGCTTTACCTTTCTGTTCCCTCGTCTGGATAATAAGAACAATACCTACCTCACAAGATTTCCGTGAAAATGAAATGTGATAATGTTTCTGCAAGTGTCAGGTTCCCCTCCTCCCATTCTTTGTTGTTGTTAATCTCACCTGAGGATACTTTTTCCATTACTTTTCAGAGAGAGTGAAAGAGAGAGAGGTGGGAGGGAAGAGAGGAACATTGATGCGAGAGAGGCACACCAACTGCTTGTCTCCCCCATGTGCCCCGATGGGGGCAGGGAGAGAATCCGAAACCCAGTATGTGTCCTTGACAAGGAATCAAATCCAAGACCCTTTGATGCCCAGACTGGCACTCTAACCATTGAGACCACTGGCCAAGGCCTTTTTTTAGATAGATTCTTAAAGTTTTTTTTTTTATTGACTTCTGAGAGAGGGAGGGAGGAGAGGGAGCTAGAAACATCAATGATGAGAGCAAATCATCAGTCGGCTGCCTCCTGCATGCCCCCTACTGGGGACTGAGCCTGAAACCTGGGCATGTGCCCTGACCTGGAATTGAAAACACCACCTCCTGGTTCATGGGTCAACGCTGAAGCACTGAGCAACATCAGCCGGGCCCATTCTTCTTCTTCTTCTTCTTTTTTTTTAGATTTTTTAAATTGATTTTTAGAGAGAGAGAAATATTGATGTGAAAGTGGAACATCGATCATCTGCCTCCTGCAAACCCCTTAATGGGGATCAAGCCTGAAACCCGGGCATGTGCTCTGACCAGGAATCTAATCAGCAAGCCTTCAGTGCCTGGAATGATGCCCAACCAACTGAGCCACACTGGCCAGGGCCCCTCCTCCCATTCTTTAATTATGACTTTGCATCCTGAGACCAGGCCTGGGTGTTCATCACAGTGGGAACCCAAGAGCCTGGCATGGGGTGTGGCCCTGAGTAGGCACTCCAGATATACATGACCAGTAACGGAAGGAAGAATTGACTGCCAGAATTCATTCAGCCAATGAATATTCATTGAGTCTGGGATGTACCAGACACTCTTCTACGTGCTGCAGACAACAAAACAGCCCCTCAAGAAGCTGCCAGTCTAGAAAGTCTAGCCATGGAGGCAGACAATATTAATATAATACTACACATAGACACATATTTTAATGTCATTTATATAATAAAATGTTAGGTATTGGTAAATGCTATACCAACTAAGATCTGATTCAGTTGCATGACAAGAAAACCCAAAATGTTAGAGCGGGGAGTGGCAAACTTTCCTAGGGCCAGATAATAAATGTTTTAGGCTTCTTGGGCCCTATTGTCTCTGTCGCAACAAGTCAGCTCTGCCATTGGAGCACAAGAGCAGCCACAGACCTAAACAAATGAGTGCACCTGTGTTTCAATAAAACTTCATTTCTAAAAACAGGTGGTGGCCCAGATTTGGCCTGTAAGATGGACTTTACTGATTCTGGCTTTAGAAGTTTTCAAAAGACATTGATTTTTCTTTCCTTGTAAATAAATAAATAAGGCAGCCAAAAGTGGCTATACACTGCCCAGGCCTCTTCGACCTTGCTCTGCCTCCTTAACATGTGGCTTCTGCACATAATTTAATTCTCATGCAGCTAAACCCTTGTATGTAACGTTTCAATAGGACACATGTGGGGCATGTGCACTGTACCCTACCGTATATATGACACCAGCATGTGTGCACATCTGTATAATGGCCGCATGTGCTGACCACGTGTGATTTTTCTCCCCGGCCACTGACTTCAAAACCTGAACTTGGGTCCCATTCTTTGCCATTGCCCCTCTTGGTGACCTTGTGTAGAAACATAGACTGTCAGCCTTCAGGCCAGGAGGAAAGAGGCAAGGTGAAGGGAAGTGTGTGCCAACTGCTTTTCTCTTTGCAGCTCACAATCCCCTCCATCCAGTACACGGAGCAGTGCCGCCTGGTGCGCAGTGGGAATAAGCATTTTGACAATCACTGCCTCCCGTCCACCATCCCCGGGGAGATGGGCGAGCTCATCAATTTGTTCCGAAGGGACACCTTTCTGCTCTACCTGAAGTGCCAGAAGGTCTGTCAGTACTATGGCCTCCCGCTGTCGGAGGACATCCTCATAAAAGGTAAGGGCCTTCGTGGCTGGCCCCAGAAAGATGCCTCAGATGTTCACCTGAGGTCTGCCCCTCCCCAGCTGACATGCACCCAGTCAAGCTGCTGTAACTTGTGGCGGGGGCATTGCTGTTATAAGGAGTTTTAGAGCCTGTAGCTCCACAAGTTCTACAAGCCTGGAGGTCTGGGCTCCCCAGATGAGCTTGGGGAGCTGGCATTCTCGAGAACATGAGTTCCGAGCAAGGGAGCCCTGAGGTTGAGCATAAAGGAACAATCCCAGTTTCCAAGAGGGAGATTTGGCAGAAGTGACAATTGCTATGCCGTACTGGGTGTTTCCAACACCGCCTCCCTAGCCAGGCCCCCTGTGTGGTCCTTCTGCAGCACTGAGGTAGGAATGCCCCAGGCAGGAGTCAGGTTCTGCTGAGGTCCTCTGCTCCCTGCTCAGACAACAGGACTCAACTCCGAGACTTCCATACTGGTTCCACCCTGTGCTTGGGGAAGAACTGTGTTTTCATACATCCAAACAGACCTGAACCCTCCACGTCTCCGAGTAGACTGTGTGCTTCTGAGCAATATTTCCATGATAACCACAGAGCAATGCTGGCACCCCAAATTGATGATTTTGTAAATTTAACGGGCAGGTTCCTCTCTGTGCTTAAAAAACGTGAACAGCAAGTTGCGTGGGGCAGAGGTTTTCCCGTAGGAACTTTGCAGAAGCTGTGGCCATACTGGGATCTGGAAAATGACGTTTACTGAGAAAGGGCACACAGAGAGACTTACCCAAGAACAAGAGTTAATAGTCACACCCTGGCTGGGTAGCTCAGTTGGTTAGAGTGTCGTCCCCATACACCAAGGTCGTGGGTTTGTTCCCCAGTCAGGGCATATATAGGAGCCAATGAATGCATAAATAGGTGGAGCAGCAGATCCATCCATCTCTCTCTCTCTCTCTCTCTCTCTCTCTCTCTCTCTCTCTCTCTCTCTCTCCTCTCTCTCTCTCTCTCTATCTCTCTCTGTTCCTGTCAGCAGGCAAGAAGCAACTACTGATACTCTCCACTGCTGGCTTTTGCTAGCTCCCGGGTCTATGAGCTTCCCGTTGCCAGGATCTCACATTCATGGGTTCACAGGAGCATCTGTGGGTGGGCTTCCTCTTGCCTTTGATTGACCGAGATGGAAAAGACTCGAGTTCCATCTGTGACTAGAGCCGCTGTGGGGACACTGGGAAGAACGAAGGAAAGGAGGGGAAGAACAGCTCAGCCTGCTTTGCTCTTAGGTGGGATTTCTAGAATACTAGACGAAGGGTGCACAAGTCCCGCTGTCCTGGCCACTATCTGTTGGCTATCTTTATGGCAGGGGCCTGCTCTGCTACAGACAAAGAAGCGCAAGTACCGAGATGTCCGAGTCCATGTACTAGACTGGAATGTGGTGAGCTCAGACCCCAGGTCTCCCACTCGTGGGCCAGAATTCTAGAACACGGAGGCATTGGCCCTCTCCCCAGTGACTCTAGCTTCATTGTTTTTCTTCCCTCTTATTTTATACATATTTGCTCACTTAAATTTTTTTGAAAACATAAAAAATAAAAATCCCACTCCAGCCTGAGTGAACCACCATTAATATTTCAGTGATTGTCCTTTCACAACTTATTTTTCTTTTCCATTTACACAAAATTATTTCTGTAAATCATGAAAAATCTGAAAATTTTTATATTCTAAAAATCATGTATGTATTTTTAATGTATTTTAAAAACCCTATATACCTTTTTTTTGGTAAGAGAATATTTATTAGGTAAATTACAGAGGTAGAAAAAGTAATTCCTAGAAGAAACGGGCTTAGCAAGCAAGTTATAGAGGTAAAGGAAGGGCCCTTAGAGCTTGGCAGTGAGGAAGCTAATGGTAAGGTGACTGGGCCGGGCTGGGGAGAGGGAGGGGAAGGGAAGGGTGAGAGTATGCTCCCTGGAGGGAGAGCACCCTATATACCTTTTTAAAGTGTTGGTGCTACATATCCCTTTCCCTCTTCTTCTTTCTCACCTGCACATCCCTGCCCTCCCCACAAATAACCAACATTAATAACCAGGAGTGTAACCTTCCCCTCATTTTTCTAGTATTTGAGGTCTTTGGATTTTACCAACTTTTTTTTTTAATTATTGATTTTAGGGAGAGAAAAAGAGAGAGAGAGAGAGAGAGAGAGAGAGAGAGATCGATTTGTTGCTCCACTTATTTACGCATTCATTGGTTACTTCTTGTATGTGTCCTGACTGGGTATGGAACCAAAAACCTTGGCGTATCAGGATGACATTCTAAATAACTGAGCTACATACTGGGCCAGGGCCCCGGTGTTACCATCTTAGGACAAGCACTGCTCCATGGCTGCAGGAAGTTGGAGACCCTGGCCTAGTGTTTTTAATGTACTGCCCTTCTTCGAAAAGCCTCCCAAGGTTATCTGTGAGACTAACTAGGTAAGGAGAAAACTGGCATCAACTAGGTCTAAGTTAACCTAGTGAAGCCTCAGGTAAATTCTCCATACACACCTCTTCCTAGGACTCCTGACGAGAACACCCCTGTAGAGTGTGCAGCCTCATACTCTATCCTAATTACACCCCAGCCCCAGGGCCATTGCAAACCTGGTTATACACTCCCTTAACTCTAGTCCAGTTAGCAGTATTTTACCAACTCCATTTTCTGATCTTGCAGTAGTTACAGGCATACCTTGGAGATATTGCATGTTCCGTTCCAGACCACTATAACAGAAGCAAGTACCCCAATAAAACAAGTCATAATCTTTTTACTGGTAGAGGATTTTGCTTTCCATTTGTAAAAAAAAAAAAAAGTACCACCTGTTAAGTGAAATAAAGCCAAATGCAATAAAACCAGGTATGCCTATATATGTCACGTCATGGTTGGAAGGTAAGAGACCCTCTGCACTATTTTTACTATTTTTGCAATTTACTTTTAATCTATAAATCTGCAATTTACTTTTAATCTATAATTTAAAAGTTAAAAGTTAAACCATGTATATAAGAAAAATCTTCTTAAACAAAAATGTGACTTTATTATTTTTTTTAAAGACCCTTCTCTGCCCTCTGCCACAAAACCTCAGGTGTGTGGGGTGGGGTGTTGGGCTGACAGGCCATGTTTCTCTTGCTGCTCACAGCCCTGCTGTACCCAGGGGACAAGATCATTTTCCAGAAGGACGAGGTGCGCCCCATCCGGCAGCCAGGAGGCTACTACGTGGACCTCCTCCTCAGCCCAACTGCAGCCCTCCTCAAGTCCCTGGGCTTCAAAGAGTTTGTGGCTAAGAAGACCAACAAGCTGAGTGTCAGACGCCCCCCACTTCCCCTTTCCCTTTGCCTCCTGACTTGCTGCTGTCCATCAGCTACAGAAGCTGGGATGCTGACTTACTTGGGATGTCATATTGTACCAGTGTCTCTGTCCTAACCCTGCACGTCCAACCGAGTCACCAAGCCTAACTAGTCCCCAGTGTCCCCCCTGGCATATGTCTAAGGTCTACAGCCACCTCACCTCACTCCCACACAGCTACCATCCTGGCTGCATCCTGTGATCTCAAGCTCCCTGGAAAGATTAAAAAGAGAGCCTTCTTGGAGAATCAGGAGGCCCCTCACCAATTATGAGCCCAGTGTCATGAGTGCTGCAGAGCACAGCCGCTTCCCCTGCCCCACCTTCTCTGGCAGGAAGGGGCTTATAGCTCCTGGGAGGAGAAAAGAACTCTGCACTGGGTACTATGTCTGACTCTCAGGTTAACTTGGAGTCCTCTCTCAGAAAATACCCTTCTTGACCCCCCAGGAGTACACCCACACCTTCCTTCCCTCTCACGTTTGTATCTCCTAAACACTGAGTCCCCATGAGACTCACAACCAGGGAGCAATGGGCAGTGGCAGTTCATCCGGGCTAATGCCCTGAACCCGTCTCCAAGCCCTTGCTCTGACTGTCCAGTGAGCCAAAGCAGTCACTCGGAGGCTCTCTCCTGTTGCTTCTCAGATCCTAAGACCTTCCTTGTTTCCCTGTCTCCAGCTTTAATACATATACTCTCAAAAGAAAAGAAAAGACAAAGACAATCTCCTTCTTTGGAAGGAGGTGAAACTTGGCAGGTGATGAGCCAGCTACCAGGGTGACTGCAGACTGGAGGACAAGCAGAATCCTGCAGAGGGATGGGGCCAGCACGGGAGAAGGAGGGGACACCACGGGGGGGAGGGGCCTAGGACCTACCCATACTCTGGGTCTGTGCTAGCTGCCCACTGGGATGGTATGGACAGAAGGGCTGGGGTGGGATGCAGCAGAGCTGAGTGGCAATCAGACAAGCTTCGGATGAAATGGACAAAGTACTTCACTCTCTGAGCACCAGCATCTTCATCTGTAAAATGGGCACAATAGCTCCTACTATATACAATGAGGACAAGAGAAAAAAAATGCATGTAAACCTCTTAGCATGTTGTTTGGCAGATAGTTGGTACCCAAGCAATGACTGTTGTTGTCAGGATGTTCTCAAGTGCAAGAGTGGCCTGGGCCTGCAGGTGGGCCCTGTCCACACTCTGGTTGGGAAGAAGTAAGCATGAGCCAGGCAGGCGGTAGTGGCCTAGAAGGCCCTTTCTGATCCTGAACCGAGAACCTAGGAGGTGGGAGGGAACTTGAGAACAGGACTCTTGTCCATGCTTAGGTAGGCCACACCTATAAAGGATAAAGAAAGGTTACCGAGGGCAGGGATGGGCATTGGGTTCGTGTTGCTACTTAGACTGTACTGTGTAAGATTCTGAGGCCGAATGCAGGGTAGCTGGGAAAGAGAGCTGTGGTTGATTAGTGATGTCTGCCAGGCCCAAGGTTTGGAGCGTTGGTGTTTACCATCCTTATCTCCAAGGCTGGATTCAGCTGTGGCAGGGAAAGTGGAAGCTGGGGGCCCAGAAATGATTCAGATTATTGAGCAACTCTCATCACTAATCTTCATTCTGGGAAATTAGAAAACTTAGGTTTTG